CCCCTCCTCTCCTCCCCCCTCCTGTCCCCTCCCCTCTCCTCTTTTCCTTTCTCCTCTCCCTCCTCTTCTCTCCCATCCCTTCCCTCCCCTTTCCTCTCCTTTCTTCTTCTCTTCCTTTCTCCTTCCTTTGTTCCTTCATTCGTTCGTTCCTGCCTTCCTTCTTTCCTCCCCCTCTCCTTCTCTTTCTTTTGAGACAGGGTCCCCTCATGTTGCTTTGGCTGACCTGGCATTCACTGTGTAGACCAGGCTGGTCTTGAACTCACAGAGCTCTACCTACCTCTGCCTTCCAAGTACTGAAATCTGTTTGGTCTCACTATTTGATAGACTGACTTTAAATTCACTATATAGGCCAGGCTATCCTTAAATCTTCGATCATTGTAACTTGGCCTCAGTCTCCACACCCGAGCCGCCACACCTAGCTGAGGATCTTTATTTCAGACAATTATTATAGGTTTTTTAGAAGAAAATATTAGAGGAATGTTGTCATATTATTTTTATGGAGAAGGCTACAACGTATGTAGACAAAAGGGGTCACTGGCTGTATATGCAGGCTGGCAGGAGAAACTACCCAAGCATTAACTACTCACGTCTCTCATCCCAGGACCATCATTGAACCTCCTGGGACTATTTGTTATCCAAGGTGCATCAGGATAAGGTAGAAAGTTCACAGAACCCCTAGGCAAGAGCATAGACATGCAGTCTTAACCCTGGGTAGTATTGTAGATACTGTTAGGATGTGTGTACTGAAAATTCAGGTTCATGAAATGTGGGTTAGGTTCATGCGCTAAGTCAATAGCTTTGTCAGGCTGACAGAAACATGACAGTTTTTGTGTTTCTATTTTCAGGCTTTGGCATGGAGGCAACCTTGCTTCTGGTGGTTGGCTTTTCCCACACCAAAGGAGTGGCTATCTCCTTCCTGGTGCTTGCTGTAGGATTCAGTGGCTTTGCTATTTCAGGTAAAACATCCTGGGTTTTCTGAATCGAGTATGTAGATTCATTAAGCCTTAGGAGTAAGGAAGGTCAAGGAAATTGTAGTACCTTCATTTAGTAGCCTAGGGATTCCCAAGGAACAGGGCCACTGAACAGTTTCTTTAAGTGGGGTGACATAAGATCTACCAGGGATGGACTTAGAGCCCGTTCTAGCTGGTATTGTCCCTACTAACTCTATCAGGGGAAAATACATAAGTGCAGCTGATTTCCCTGAGGCATAAGCAGAGCCCAGTCATGTATCCCAGGCTAGCCTCCAGTTCACCCTATCTGACAGACCCATTTCCTGCTAGAGGACTGCTAAGTTTAGCTAAAATGGCCATGCCATTTCACATGTGGTCGCAAACATTGGGCACATTTAGAGTGATTTCTATAGTTTCACTGAGTTTTCTTTTTGGCTGCTTCATTGCTTTCATTTTCTGAACAAGAAGGGACAGGTTTGGGGAGGGGTGGACATCCTTTAGAACAAGCAGGTATGATGATAGTGATGTGGGCTTTCTGTGATCAAGCCTGGATTCTATGCCGAGGATGCTCAAACGCTTTGTGAGCCGTTCTGACAACTACCCCAGGGGGTTTTGATGTTATTAGTATCTTCATTTGACAGGAGCAGGATCATGTGTAAATCACCATGCTTATAGACTCAAGAAAATCCCTATGCCAAGCCCAGTGAGAATGTAAAATGGGCTATCTGTGTCTATAATTTCATTGTGGAGCAAATGGTGATAGCAACATTTAACTGAGTCTTTCACAATTTTACTGACTACTACTACTACTAGTAACAATGAAAACAGTTCTTCCCATTGTCACACAGTTAGTGACAGACACAGACCTGCCTGCCTCCAAGACCTTTTGTATCCCTGGGCCACCTTAAGTATCAAACAGCATGGAAATACACCAGGACAGAAAAATGTTAAATCTGTTTCCCAAGCTACCCTAAGATAGAGTCTTGGAGTATCTATCAAAATAAACAGAATGTATTAGAAGGTATATTAGGGGAAAAGTAAAAGCTGGAAGTCAAGAATTTGGATTTGGAAGTACATAGAGCTGGGTCTGAGATCTTTCTTAAATGTTTTTATTTTCTGTGTGTATAAATAATTTGCCAATTTTTTCAATTCTGATCTGGAGATTGGAGGCCGGGACAGCACCGGCTAGGTTGTTAGGCCCCGTGGTCTCACACTACTTACCTCATCAGCATGGGGATATGCAGTGAACAGCTACAACTTTTGCCCTCATAGAATTGTTGTTCTAGGGAAAATAGGATACTCAAAGGTCTCATCAAGGGTTGGGTGAGGAGCAAAGTTTTGGGTGCTGACTGTTATCATTGTTCAATCCACATAGTGTGAGCTCTCTGCTTCCCAGATGTTCACATACAGAGAAGCTACTCTGGGCCTAACAGAATACAGTTTCTGATTAATAAATTAATAAATTAATAAATGGGGCCTGAGATTCCGTTTTCCCAGCAAGCTCTGCAGAATGACCCTGATTGACATCCACACTTTTTTCTTTCAGTTTTTTGGGGGAACACAGAACTTTGTACATTGTTGGCAAGTCCTCTGTCACTGATCGACACCCCACAGTTTTTCTATATAGATCAGCTCAATGCTGGACTTCCTATATAGCTCGGGCTAGCCCTGACCTCTGGATCCTCCTCCTTCTGCCTCCCAGTACCAGGATTACAAGTGTGTGCTGTCATTCCTGGTGGTGGTCTACACTCTGAATAGCAAGAATGCAGTGATCGTGGTGTGCTTACAGTAGGATGTGGAAGAAAATCTTCCCTTGATAAGTCTGTCATACAAGATAGATTCATATCCTGTCTCCAGAACTACTGAAGCCTTCAAGTTCCCATTGCTTCCTTTCTTTAGGATTGCCAATTAACCTTAAGCAGAGGTTAAAATAAAGCAAGTCACAACTCAATTCTTTCAACCACAGCAGCTGCCTTTACCCTATGTTGGCCACTTTTTAAAAATACCCATTTAAGATTATTTTGAGATTATAATTTAATCATAACATTTCCCCCTTTGCTTTTCCTTTCTCTAGAGCAGTGGTTCTCAACCTTCCTAATGCTGTGACCCTTTAATACAGTTCCTCATGTTGTGATGACCCCAACCATAAAACTTTCATTGCTACTTCATAACTGTAACTTTTGCTACTGTTATTAGTTATAATGTAAATATTCTTGGAGATAGGAGTTTGCCAGAGGGGTTGAGAACCAGGGGTTGAGAATTACTGCTCTAAACCTATCCATATACAACTCTCCACTCTCCTTAAAATTCATGGTCTATTTTTTTAAACTTATTTTTATTGAATTCATATGTGAATATGTGTAAATACATACATATATATACATATATGTATATATGTATATATATATATTCCTATATAACTCCAGTCCATATAAGGCTACCTGTATGTATGTTTTCATGGCTGATTATTTGGTATTGGACAACCAATTTGTATGCTCTTCCATGGGGAAGGCCATATCTCCTATTTCCAGTCTTCCATAGTTGCCCATCTCCCAGACTGCATGTAATATTTTCATGGGCTACTAAAATATATCAATGTCCTAGTTTCTCAGTGATTTTTCCCATCTGAACACCAGCAGTGTGTCGATAGAAGCCTAAGTGGTTTTTCTCAAATTCTCTTTAGCTTGATGCAAATGCCCAGGCTGGCTTTGTATCAGAGCAGAATGCCCAACAATCATATTAATTGCCTCTTATCTCTAGTTATTTATTACATTCAAATCACAGCAAGATTAACTGATCTTGCAGCTGTTTTATGTTCCAATTGTCTGGTACTTTGATCTCAATGAGAAGGTATTTTTCATTGCAGAACACATTTTTAACAACTTCTCCTTGAATGTAGCTACAGAAAAAATTATCCAGATTGGATGAAGATTTTCTTTTCAGGGTTTTATTTTCTCCCACAGAACAGAGAATTAACACGAATGGGTGAAGGGCTAATGGTGCCCTAACCTTTACTCCTCAACTATTAGCTTCACTGATAAGAATTTGGCGGAGCAGGAGTCATTGTCTTCAGGTTTTCATTCACCTCTGAGCCCACCAGGTTTCATCCGATAGTTCCAAACCCATGTTCAGATAGACAGCAGCCTGTTTAAACTCAGCAGGTCATAAAAACAAGACAAACAAGGATGTGAGAAAGAGCTTTGTAGAGAAGGGGGAGGTAGATAGGGGTTCAGGTGAGAGTAATCAGTACATGTTATATACATGGATGAAATTGTAAAGAATAGGGCAGGGTTTGGAGAGATGGCTCGGCAGTTGAGAGTGCTTGCTGCTCCTCGACAGGACCTGAGCTCTGTTCCCAGCACCCAAGTCAGGTGCCTCATAACCATCTGTAACTCCGGCTCCAAGGGATCTGGTGCCCTCTTCTGGCCTCTGCGGGTATCTGTGTGCGCACACACATGCACACATACACAACTCTAAATAAAATAACTGAACTCTTTTTTCAATAAAGAAATTGTCAACAAATTTAATATATAAAAAGTACCCCAGAAAACAAAAGAAAACAGAAGCATGACTGAATAAAGCCCATATTCCTTTGCCATACGTTCAGTAGCTTGAACTGGTAAATAAACACAGGCATTTGAGTGATTCCTATAGGTCACACACTTTGCTAGTGCAGGGAAGACAGTGGTCAACAGGCCAGATAGCTGCCTAGACCTCACATCCATATATGTTGCTAGGCATGGTGTATACCTGAGATCGCAGGCTCTCAGGAGGCTGAGGCAAGAAGATAGCTTAAGTCTGTGAGTTTAAGATACTGTCTCTAAATAAATAAAATGTGAAATAAAAAATTAGAAGTAGAAATGCATCAACTTGGCTTTCCCTTCTAGTTACTATTTATGTAACATCCATTATTATTTAGTTTAATTCCTGAAATGCTTTTATAAGAATGATCACTCCATTTTATAGATGAAGAAACTCAGGGTCAAGAAAGTTTAACCTTCAGTCCAGATAGCTTCTCAGTTAAGCTGCCAGAGTTGGGGCCTAATTTTAAAATGCACCCCTGGTTTATGGGGATTTGGGAATCTTTCAATATTTAGCCATGCTCCCCCTCCTTCACTTGATTTGCTCCTTCCTTCTGATAAGGGGAATAGCAGTGGCCCTCAATGACAGGGAGACAGGGAGACAGGGAGACAGGGAGACAGGGAGACAGGGAGACAGGGAGACAGGGAGACAGGGAGACAGGGAGACAGGGAGACAGGGAGACAGGGAGACAGGGAGACAGGGAGACAGGGAGACAGGGAGACAGGGAGACAGGGAGACAGGGAGACAGGGAGACAGGGAGACAGGGAGACAGGGAGACAGGGAGACAGGGAGACAGACAGGGAGACGAGACAGGGAGGAGACAGGGAGGAGACAGGGAGGAGACAGGGAGACAGGGAGACAGGGAGACAGGGAGAGACAGGGAGACAGGGAGACAGGGAGACAGGGAGACAGGGAGACACAGGGAGACAGGAAGACACAGGGAGACAGGGAGACAGGGAGACAGGGAGACAGGGAGACAGGGAGACAGGGAGACAGGGAGACAGACAGGGAGACAGGGCGACAGACAGGGAGACAGAGAGATGCTTCCCTGTAACAGCAATAATAGCAGAAGTCCAACAGCTGTTGTGTGGTTAGAACAGCTGCTCACCATGGAACTGTGTAGTTGGAATAGCATAGTTGCTCACCATGGAACTGTGTGGTTGGAATAGCTAGCTACCCACCATGGAACTGTGTGGTTGGAATAGCTAGCTGCCCACCATGGAACTGTGTGGTTGGAATAGCAGCTCACCATGGAACTGTGTGGTTGGAATAGCAAAGCTGCTCACCATGGAACTGTGTGGTTGGAATAGTGTAGCTGCTCACCATGGAACTGTGTGGTTGGAATAGCGTAGCTGCTCACCATGGAACTGTGTGGTTGGAATAACATAGCTGCTCACAATGGAACTGTGTGATTGGAATAGTTTAGCTGCTCACCACAGGTCTTCATGTCTGCAGTTCTTCTGTGTCATGTCACAGCAGCTATTACAGATAAATAGTAATATTATTCCTATACTCGATTACGTGATGGAAATAAGCTTTGAACCAGAACCTACAGATTTGAAACATGGAAATCCTTTGTAAATGATTGAGAGTCCTGTCATGTCTATGCAAATAGTTAGAAATGTCCTTTTTAATGGATCATGTGGCCATCAAGGCAGACTCATCTATGGAGGACATTTAGTGGTGGACTGGGAGAAGCCGTATTGGAAGTTAAGGTTCTGTTCTGTAGGGTTTGATTGTTTGCTTTGAATAGATACAGTCCAGGCCTTATTACTTTGGGTTTTGGGGTTCCAGATCTGATGCCTATTTTTTTTTCTATAATTCTCACCATCATAGGAGCATTGCTAACCAGCATGGACAGTCCTGCTTTGTGCAAGGACAGCCTGGCAATGTCCAGCCAGGTCTTCTTGGTAGAATATCCATTAAACATATACTAGAGAAGATCAAACTGATTTGTGAGCCTTGGGGCAAGCCACACATTTTTCAAAGAGTTTTAGGAATTCCGTTCTTAACTCTGATACTGAAGTTTTGGCTTTACCATAGGTTTTAATGTCAACCACCTGGACATTGCTCCACGCTATGCCAGCATTCTCATGGGGATTTCTAATGGAGTGGGAACGCTGTCTGGAATGGTCTGTCCCCTCATTGTTGGAGCAATGACCAAGCACAAGGTAATGATCTCCTTTGTGGCTGTGGGCTACGATGTCAGGGTAGAAGCACTGCACAAACCTGAGATCTCAGTGACTTACCCTAGTGTGTGTGTCTCCCTGTCCTTGGAACCTGAGATCTAAGCGACTTATCCTGGTGTATAAGTGTGTGTGTCCTTGGAACCTGAGATCACAGTGACTTACCCCAGTGTGCAAGTGGGTGTCCTTGTCCTTGATTGAGTTTTGGACAGCTGCCTCCTCTCCTCCTCCCCCCCCCACTTCTGCTTTCTTGTTTATTGAAGGCACCAGGACTAATTGTTATCTAGTCCCACACCTTCTTAGCTGAGAAAGAAATGTTTGGAGGAGAAAAGTAAAGGCCATAGAGATTCTTTAGAGACACCAAGAAGAAATTCAGGCAGCCAACCCAGAATGAATATTTTATTTAAGGTTGTTTTATGATTCTACGTGCTAACAACGGGATAGCCCATTCCCACCTGTTACTTAGAATGTCACACATAAAGTAGTGAGTGATGTAGATTCCCTCCTTGTTTAGGAGAAAATAAACAACAAATTAATGGGCTTTCTTGAGAATCACCTTGCCCAACCTTGATGCAAGGGGAAGAGCTTGGTCCTGCCTCAACTTGATGTGCCATGCTTTGTTCAAGCCCATTCTGAATAGAGATGGAGAAGGAGTGGGGGAACTGGGAGGAGAGGAGGAAGGAGAAACTGTGGTCAGTATGTAAAATAAATGAGAAAATGTTACTGAAATAAACTAAAAAATTAACCCTCAAGGGGACAGGGGAACAGTTCCAAGGCTCTCTTTGAGAGCACCAATGTTCTGTTCCCGGTACACACATGGCTCACAACCATTAGTAACTCCACCATTAGATCCCCTGGAGCTGGCATTACAGATGGTTGTGAGCCACCTGTGGGTGCTGAGAATTGAAGCTGTGTCCTCTACAAGAACATCCAGGGCACTTAACCATTATGACGTGGTCTCCACGGGTACCAGGCACACATGTGTTGCATAGACAAAACACCCATAATATAGTAAGTATACAAACTCCTGAACCTTCAAGGCTGTGGTACTTAGTTTTTATTGAACCTTTGTTCAATAAAACTTATTTTTATCTTTAAACTTATTTTTAAAACTTATTTAAAATTATTTTTATCTTTAAAAATATTTATTCTACATGAGTGTTTTTGTCTGCTTGTATATATGTATACCACATATATATCATGAAAGCCAGTGGAGGGCTTTAGATCCCCTGGAGCTGGAGTTACAGATAGTTGTGAGCTACCATATGATGCTAAGTATTGGACCTGGATCCTCTGTAAAAACATCCAGGGCACTTAACACTCCGCAACAAAAGTGACCTGTGCTTTTTACATACTTATTTTGATATATATTATATTAAAATGGCATTCATTGTAGTCTTTCATTTTCATTTTCAAGCACCTGAATTAAATATAGATTCTGGATGGTGATTCTATCATGTCTACCTTGAAGCACAATGTAGCCTTTGAGAAGCAGATGTTTTCACCCCAGTGGAGGACTTTAGGGCTCACTGTTAACCTCTGTTTTTGCTCAAAACAGTAATTGGATATTTCCTTTGTTAGACCCGTGAGGAATGGCAGAACGTGTTTCTCATAGCGGCTCTGGTCCACTACAGTGGTGTCATCTTCTATGGGGTCTTTGCTTCAGGGGAAAAACAGGACTGGGCTGATCCAGAGAGTCTCTCTGAGGAGAAATGTGGAATCATTGACCAAGATGAATTAGCTGAGGAGACAGAACTCAACCACGAGGCTATTTTAAGTCCCAGAAAGAAGATGTCTTATGGAGCCACCACTCAGAATGTCAAGGTTCAGAAGAGTGGGTGGAGACAACAGAGGGAAGCTGCCTTTGATGAGGAAGAGGCATTGTCCTACCAGAATGAAGGAGACTACTCAGAAACATCCTAATGCCCCTCTTCACCTCAACTTATAAGCAGAAGTATCCATCCCCATTACCTTTCCATACCTTGGCTTGCCAGGGGGCCAAATCATGGGACACTGGAGGTAGTGGGAGGAGATTAAGCCAACAGCAGAGAAAGAGAGAGAAACACTTTCTTCCATAGATAAGAGTAAGGATCTTGCTCTCAGTTGATAAAATAGTTGATCATATCTTTTCGGGGTGGGATAGGGTTGATGTTGGCTGTTGAGCCTTCTCTCAAAGAACTAGTTATTCAGAAAGAAATGGCTAGAAGAATAAGGAGTAGCTTGTTGTTCAAATAAACATTGAAAGGAAATCCCTCTTTGGCCTGGAGGCCAGAGTACATGGTGGCTGTCACTACATCTCCTAAGATACCCATGCAGAGAAAAGTTTCCTAACCCTGATGAAGGGAAGCACTCACAGAGGCCCTCTGTTGTGCCAGGTGCTTTATGAACACACTTACTTAACCTCCACATCCTATTACATATAGTTATTGTACCTATTTTCAGCTAGGGACACTAAACCCACCCAAAGTTGTCCTCTCAGGGTCAAGACCAAGACTGGCAGATGAGTGGGAGTTTTAGGAAAGAAGGATCCAGCTCAGTGTAGGGACATTTTCAATGACAAAAACTGAAAGTGGAATCGGCTGTTTTGTGTGTGATTCCATGTTTGGTCAAGGGTGTGTGTGTGTGTGTGTGTGTGTGTGTGTGTGTGTGTGTGTGTGTGTACATGTGTGTGTATGTGTGTAAATATTTAGACTATGTGGCAGAGGGGATTCAAACATAAAATTCTGGACTCAAAGCCCTTCAGGTCCTATATTACTCGATGAACCAAACAATTTGGTGAATCAGTGGCTTTTTTTTTCTTTAAAAGTCACAGACTAACAGAAAGAAGTAATAAATAAAATAAAGCTAAGCATGATAGCTCAGTTTCCAGGAATGTTTTACAAGAAGTATACGAAGAGTTCACTATTAAATTTAAACCCTCTACATCATCAGGAATGTGGCTAAATAATGTCCCAAGTTAACTAGTAGTCTCCCAAAATTTAATAATCAAAGAATTAGACTCAGGAGAATTTTGCCACTAGTCTCTTAGAAGAGTATGGTTTAAACAAATGTGTGTCGCTAGCATTCTCTGCCAGTGAGTATAATAGGAAGCATGGTCAGATGACATAAAATTATGTCCAAAATATTCATAATGACTGTACCTGGAATGCTCATTGAAAATAAAAAGATAGCAATAGTTTCATAGGGAAATACTGCAGTCAAAATGTCCAAGACAATCAGGCCTGTAATTGGTATTGAAAACCTCATCTGTGATTGTGTTAGGCAATAGCATGAATACTCTCAAATACAATTAAAATGCAATATTGGCATGTAAGAGGTTATTAGAAAATAAAATTATTTTCCTGCTCCTTAGTTTTGAAAAGTTTGTTTATATTTTCAGAAGGAAATGTAATATGATGATAAAATACAGATTTGCTTGTAGTATGTTATAGTATATTATTTGTTCTCTAGTTTTTTCCATTTCACTTCTGGTCCCTTGTTATACTTAAGGAGTTATAATGTGCTTTATAAAAAGACTAATGTTAGATTTTAAAAGAGAATGGCTGACTTCCCACTAAATAATATTCTTTATTTGTATATAATTTGTGTTATCACATGTTGTTAAATCTCCTTATTGTGTGAATCCATGTAAGCCCCCTAGAGCAATTCCTGGCATACAGAAGTACTTAAAAAATAGCTGTCCCATCATCACTATCTTTGACTCTTGTGTGACCATGTCATTTGTAAAGAAAAAAATGCTGTGTCTTTTCATCCATTGGCCACAGAGTTTATTATGAAAATTGCACTGTTTTCTAAGTAAAAAAAATTAGAAAATAATAACCAGTGTTTATTTCTTTGTGTGTTAATAAAGTATAATAATTATATGTATGAAAAAGCCTCATGATGATCATGAAGGCAGTGTTGTAGATTGTGACCCAATCTCCTGTTGGTGTTGATGTTATGCAGAAATACCACATTTTGCTTATAACTTGCATGTACAGTATATTTTTTAATGATGGGCTGGATTGTGGCATTAAACATTATAAAACGTGTTCCCTTGTGGTGATGTTCTTTCCATGCAGGTTGCACTGAGCCACTAATTACACTTGGACAGCATTGACAAGCGACACTTACCAGTTTGGTACATTTTGCTCTTGCTGTCTATTTGTAGAGCTACCCTTTGGAGGCCCAGTGTTGATTCCAGCAAGAGGGGTCCTGAGGATGCTGGATTACTGAAATAAAGTCTTGACTGCACTTTTTCAAACACTGACAGTAATGGCTATTTCTAAAAGTGAGGAGAATAATTAATAATGTTTTAAACATAATGGACTATTATGTTTTTGTGGTTATTAAATCCAATATGGAGCACAACATTTCTATTTCATACCCCGCATTTGAAACTCAACAAAGTTGTTTTTTTCTTTTCTTCCATCTTTTTTTTTTCTTTTGGGTATGCATGTCATCCTTTGTTCAAGCTAGAACTCCCAGAACTGATTTTGAGTTAAATTTTCCAGAGTTCTCTCTTTTCTCTGCCCAGTTTCTTTATTTTTCCATCTATAGATTCATATCTGACACATCTGTGGAAAACTCCATCATCATCTCTCAAGATGCTGCTTTATTTAAAATCATTAGCATATATTAATTATTCATAACATTGAGTTTCATTGTGACAGTTTCAGGAACACACATACAATGTCTTTTGATCATATTCACCCCATAACTTTGTGCCCCTTTCTGGTCCTTTTTCTCTCTAGTCCACTTCTATATTAATTTTGTTGTTGTTGTTTTGTGATCCAATAACTTCCATTAGGATTGCTTATAAGAGCCTTATCAGTGGCACTTATAAATATCCTTTCTTCCCTAGCAACCATTAACTACTTGTAAATCCCAGGGAGGATTAGGGCCTTGTGAGTTCCTCCCCTCTCTGTGAATAGGAGGATGTTGGATTTGTCTCAAATTTGTGCAGGTCTTGTGCAGGTAATCACAGCTGCCATGAATTTGAGAGTGCAACAGCCATAGCATGTCTGGAAGATAATATTCCACAACATTTTATTCTTTCCCCTGGCCTTTATTTTTTTCTATCTCCTTTTCCACAGTGTTCCTTAAATCTTGGAGAGTGTGGTAGAGAGTCACACTTACAGTTGAGCATTTAGCTGTTGCTTTGGTCAGTAACACATTTCTGAAGTTACCTTCTGTGACTAAAGCTGATAGCTACATTAATATATAGGTATACACATGATTTAGGAAGCGACTTGATAGGCACATCCTTCCATTTAGCAAAACAGTAGCAGTAGCTTCCTCAGTGGGACCTATATTTCTTGGCCAGTTTTATAATACAAAGCATGAATTTCCCGCAATTCCAACTAGAAAGTTATTGGTTGCTCCTATAACTGCCATATCACTGTTGCACAAGTGGCCACATTTTGCCTGGCAGTTTGAGTGTAGGACACAGGGTTCACACCTGTGAAAAGCTGTTGATGACTCTCCACCCACCCCACCCACCCAGCAGGCAGCCTACATAGAACCTTCTAGCACTGTAAAGGGTAGTCTGCAAGGAGGAAGCTTCAATCTTAGTTCAACTTGATTTCTGTATATCCCGTGATGAGACTACGTGGTGCCTTTGGCAATAGTATCTTCAGTCTGGTTTTGGTGGACAGCTGGCAGCAGTGGAATTGTCTATACTATTTCTGCCACCCCAAGGGTCTCCCTGCCCATAAACTCATAGGGAGGTAGTCCACCTGGCATTAAAATTTTCACTTAGTAACCTATAACATCAGAGATCAGCTTTATCTAGCAATGCAAGGCCCATCCATTCAAACTCTTACTTAATTAACTAACTGCTTCTGCCTTCAGAGTGCTAGGATTATAAAAAAGGCATGTGCCACCACACCCTGCTTTATATTCTTTTAAAATTAGCTTACGAAGCACCAGGATTCCTCATGGCCTTTTCATCCCTCTTTATGTTGGTTGACCTTCGCCCCCCACTTTTTGTTCTCCCTCCCCTTTCCCCACTTAAGCACTTCTCCCCATGGAACTCCCTCACTTTCATGTCACACATGCTGAGACATGTTTCCTTTCTGCCTTCTCAACTCAAGCTCTCCATCTCGTCAGAACCTTTTGCTTATTTATGTGTCAATCAGGATATCTTCTTCTGACTTAATTTTTTAGTTTTTTTGTTTGTTTGTTTCTGCCCTGATTTTTTATTTGAATTAGAAACAAGATTGTTTTACATGTCAATCCCAAGAAACAATCTTATTTTACATACCAATCCTCCCATTACCCCCACTGACCCCCATCCACTCCCCAGGGAGGCTGAGGCCTTCCATGGGGGATCATCAAAGTCTGTCATATCATTTGGAGCTGGCCTAGGCCCTCCCCCATGTGTCTAGGCTGAGAGAGTATCCCTCCATGGGGGAATGGGCTCCCAATGTCCATTTGTCCACTAGGGATAAATGCTGTTCCATTACCAGAGGCCTCATAGACTGCCCAGGCCTCCTAACTGACACCCACGTTCAGGGGGCCTGGTTCGGTTCCATTGTGTTTTTAATTTGAACTATTTTCAGTTTTAGAAGTTTTTGGCTCTTATTTCATTTCTTCTGTCATCTTAAAAATATTTCTGGTTCTGCACAATTTCTACTCTTGTAGTTTTTTTAAAGAAAAGATACTTTTATTTGAAATTCTAAGAAAAAAAGACAAACAAATGGGGTGGTAGTGATTATAAAAATAATACACGTTCTATTTTAGTTAAAGGTAATCTGTGACAGATGAAGGGATTCTAAGATACCAAAATGAATGTAAAGAGTGATATATTAGCATGCCCATTCAAAAAAGTTCTAAGAATGATTATTTTATATATACAAAAGAATAGTAAAAATAGCACATGACACCATAGAGAAAAGCAAACTGACTATGGATTTACTTCTAAAATAATTTGTTGCAATAAA